TAAAAAACACAAACTGTTTTTGCTGAAAGCAGCATTCTGGATGTCAGTTAAGTCAACTGTATTCATCACTTTATTAAGGTCGTCTATATCCTTACTAATTTTTGCCTATTTGTTTCTACAAGCTCTTGAGGTATCTGTGTGTCCCAGGAGGACTGTAGAATTATTTTGTTTTGACCTTCCTATTTTTGCTTTATGTATTTTAAAGTTACACTATTTGTAACATACAGATTTAAGACGAAGATACTGATAGAGGTATCATGATGAAATCATCTCTATCTCCAAGTAGCACTGTTGTGTACTTTGTCGGATAGTATGCCAGCTTTGCTTCAATGAGTATATATATTACAAATCCTCTTCCATCCTTCTGTTTAAAGTATGTCACTTCCTTAAACACGGAATCACTATAATGTACACCTGTAACTTACATAATATTGTATAGCAATTGTATTTTAATTTAAAAGTAAAGTAAAATACTTTAAATAAATCATGCCACTTATAAGCAGTACATAACATGGTTTTGATTATTATCCAGTCTGACAAACTTAGTCTTTTACCAGGAGTATTTAGTCCATTTATATTAAATATAATCATTTATACAAATGGGTTTTTAGCTACCACACTTCCTCTTTGTTTTCAGTTTGACCTCCTACTTTATGTCTACCTTCTATTCTTTTTCTTTTTTTGGATTAATACAATGTTGTTTTATTTCATATCCCCTCTATTTCAACCTCCTAGATACACATATTCTATTCTCTTAAATGTTACCTTAGGTTACAATATGCATTCTTTACAAATCAATGCAAATTATTACTTTTACTAGCCCCAATAATCCCAGAATCTTAAAATGCTTTAACTTTATTAACCCTCCTCCTGCCTTTTGTGATTACTCTCACACATTTTAGTTTTACACACACTTTAAACCCTAAGAACATATAATAGTTTTATATGGTCAACATGTGTAACAAGTGCTTCAGGGTAACGATACATCATGTTAATAATACTAGCACATGTCATCTCTAAAATATATTTTAATGAATATATTTCCTAACTTTAATTTCCTCTGTGACTCATAAATCATTTAGAAGCTATTTGTTTCCAGACAGCTAAGAATTTCTTAACACTCTTGTGAAATTTGAGCTTAAGTCCACTGTGATCATCAAACATACTCTGAACAAAATTTCAATCTTGAAATTTGCAGAAACTTGCTTTAGGGTCCAGCATATGTTCTATTTTGTTAAGTGTTCCATATGTACTTTAAAAAACACAAACTGTTTTTGCTGAAAGCAGCATTCTGGATGTCAGTTAAGTCAACTGTATTCATCACTTTATTAAGGTCGTCTATATCCTTACTAATTTTTGCCTATTTGTTTCTACAAGCTCTTGAGGTATCTGTGTGTCCCAGGAGGATTGTAGAATTATTTTGTTTTGACCTTTCTATTTTTGCTTTATGTATTTTAAAGTTACACTATTTGTAACATACAGATTTAAGACGAAGATACTGATAGAGGTATCATGATGAAATCATCTCTATCTCCAAGTAGCACTGTTGTGTACTTTGTCGGATAGTATGCCAGCTTTGCTTCAATGAGTATATATGTTACAAATCCTCTTCCATCCTTCTGTTTAAAGTATGTCACTTCCTTAAACACGGAATCACTATAATGTACACCTGTAACTTACATAATATTGTATAGCAATTGTATTTTAATTTAAAAGTAAAGTAAAATACTTTAAATAAATCATGCCACTTATAAGCAGTACATAACATGGTTTTGATTATTATCCAGTCTGACAAACTTAGTCTTTTACCAGGAGTATTTAGTCCATTTATATTAAATATAATCATTTATACAAATGGGTTTTTAGCTACCACACTTCCTCTTTGTTTTCAGTTTGACCTCCTACTTTATGTCTACCTTCTATTCTTTTTCTTTTTTTGGATTAATACAATGTTGTTTTATTTCATATCCCCTCTATTTCAACCTCCTAGATACACATATTCTATTCTCTTAAATGTTACCTTAGGTTACAATACGCATTCTTTACAAATAAATGCAAATTATTACTTTTACTGGCCCCAATAATCCCAGAATCTTAAAATGCTTTAACTTTATTAACCCTCCTCCTGCCTTTTGTGATTACTCTCACACATTTTAGTTTTACACACACTTTAAACCCTAAGAACATATAATAGTTTTATATGGTCAACATGTGTATATTTCACATGCATATTTACCCTTTATAATGTCTTTCATTCCTTCTTGCATTTCCATCTAGGATAATTTCCCTTCTGCTTGAAGTAGCTCCCTTTAATACTGACGGTAATGCAGTTCCACTACTGACAAATTCTATTGGTTTTTGTCCAAAACCATCTTTTTTCATGTCCATTTTTAAGGGAGTTTTGGCTAGGAAAATAGTCTAGGTTGGCAGCTTTTGTCTCTCATTACTTTAAAGATGGCCATCTTATTGTCTTTCTTTTTTCTTAATCGTTTGTTAAGATGTCATAGTTGTGTTGGTCATATTACTGCCCCTTTAAAAACGAGGTGTCTTTTTCTAACCTCTGGCTGCTTTTAAAATTTTCTGTCATGGGATTTCAGAGTCTTATATTGATGAGCAAAGATATATCATCCTGCTTGGGGTTTTCTATGTGTTTTGAATCTTTAAGCTGCTGTCTTTCATCATTTTGTAACAGCATTATATCCTCAAATATTGCTTATGCCCCATTCTCGCTCCTCTCTTTCTGGGACTCCACCTCTACAAAGACCTTTTTAAGTACATCTCACTTGTCTTTAATCCTGTCGCTCACTGTGACAATCTGCTATTGGTTCTAGCCACTGGGTTCTAATTTAAATACTGTACTTTATTTTCTAGAATATCTGCTTGGTTTTCCACAATAAATTCAAATTATGCCGAAACTCTCTATCCCTCCATCTAATTATTTTGTCCAACTTTTCCTCTATTGTCTTAAACATATTATTTACGGTTATTTCTAGGTACTTGCCAGCTAACTCCAATATCTGACTCATCTGTGGGTCTGCTTCTATTGGCTTGTTTATAAATCATATGATCTTGCTTCTTGGGTATCATATCATTTTTTACTGTATGGTGAATGCTGGAGAGTCTTTAAGTATTGTTATTTTCCACCTAGAAAAGAGACAGAGGGCTCCGCGTGCTCTCTGCTGCACAGGCAGAGAGGGATTATCAGCTGAGCAGGGAGGGAGCTCACTGCCCAGCAGGGAGCTGAGCTGAGCTGGTCTGGGCTGCCGTTTGTGAGTCAAGTCCTAGGCAGGTTGATGAGAAGTCCGGGGTCCCCAAGGAGGAGAAAGGGGTCTGGGGTTCTCAAGGAGGAGGAAAGGACAACCATCTCTTCTTTTTCTCTACATCCTGAGTCTTGGTCACAGAAGATGTTTTTCCGTTAAGCTGTAAGCTGATGATCACACAATGAACAGCTCAGTTTACACTCTGTACCAAGGGTTATATAACAGTCATGTATCCTGCTTCAGGACGGTTTCTCCTTCCTGAAAACCTTTTGACTAAATCCTGTTATCTTAAAATGTGTATTATGGGAGTGGGTCTGGGAAGATCTTTCTATTGTTAGTTCTAATCCTGTCATTTTAAAATGTACATTGTGGGAGTAGGTCTAGTAAGATCTTTAAAACCTTGAGACATTCTTTTGATTTATTGTAATAACAGAGGATGAGATGGTTGGATGCCATCACTGACTCAACGGATATGCATTTGGGTAAACTCCAGGAGTTGGTGATGGACAGGAAGGCCTGGCGTGCTGCAGTTCATGGGGTTGCAAAGAGTCTGGGACACGACTGGGCGACTGAACTGAACTAACTGAATAACCAATTAAACAGTATATAACTCTCTTGCTTAGACCAGCAAGGAGGGCACTCTCCGCCCCCTTCAAATATCCATGTCAGAAGCTTGCTCTGTTCCTTTTCTCACTTTAATAAAACTCTGCTACACAAAAGCTCTTGAGTGATCAAGCCTGGTCCCTAGTCCTAAAGCTAAATCTTCTTCAGAGATCACGAATCTGACACTGGTCACCATAAGCTATCAGTCTGCCTCTGGTTCACCCCCATTCCTAAGGCCTGGCTCTCCCTGGAGTTCAGTGAGATCTCTGTCTCCTCTACACTAGACTTGGTTCTGCCCTTACGAAGTCTTCATGATGGCCCTTGGGCCCCTGTCCTATCCAACCTTCCAAACTTGGCGTATGTCTTGAGAAAGGGACTCATCATGTTTTGAGGGCCCCTTCAGTCTCATCTGTTTTTTACTCCAGACGCAGAAACCTCTTCTGGTTTTTCTGTCCCTGAGAAAACAGCCTCCTGCCAGAGGCCAAACCTGGAATCTCATCTGCCCACCACACCCACAACCAACCACTGCCCCAGGTGATAAGTGGTTCTAGATCTTCAGAAGGGTTTTCATCTTCTGCCTGTTCTGTTTTCAGATTCATGCCACAGCAGGTGTAAATTTAAATATCATGTAATCCTGCAAGGCTGTGAGAGGTTTCAATGTGTCTTTCAGAAGCTCCTGGCTCTTCAGCCCCTCCCAATGTCTTGCTGGGAAAACTGGCTGTGGGCTTGAGGCCTCCCTCTCCCACCAAGTCTCCAATTTGTTACTCCAGTAATGTGTGACCATAAAACTTTGCTAGTTATTCTTTTACCCAATAGCAGCCCTCTACCTCAGCTTCTGTCTCCAGAATCTGCAAGCTTCTGCAGAAAATAAAATGGGTGAGAATGCTCTGTCTTCTTCCTCTGGAATTTTAGTCCAACTATTCTTCACTGACTCCAGAACACTATACAGTTTTAAAAATATGTTTTTTATAGTTGGTGCCAGCATCTCTAATAAACTATATATTCTATCTTGTACTACTAATTACTTTCAATGAATTTCTAAATATTTGTAAGATATCTACAAGTATTAACATTTCCCAAAGAACAGTTTAAATATGCTTTTGAAATAAAAGCATTGATAAAACAGTCACTTCTTACCTCTTCATAAAACTTCACCTGAGGTACAGCTTCATTAATTTCATTCAAACAAAAATCTTTAAATAGCAAGAAACCTAAAGAAAGAGAATAAAAAATTTCAGGGTGGGCAATGGATGGAAACTTTATTCCACAGGGTGTTTTCAAATTCATTTGTTTCAACCTCTTCCTCTCCTAGTTAAAGAAGAAATTTTAAAAGGTTTTAAAAGACTACTTAATACCTAATGCCTAGGAGAAAATAATCCAGGTTAAATAAGAGTATGCTACATCTGGCTCTGGCATTGGGGTTTACTCTCTCGGCAACCCCACCTCCCACGTTTTAAACAAGCACAGTTAACAGTGCACGTGGTCACCGCCACTCAGCCACTGGTCACTGCAGAGAACACAAGATTAACCAGAGAAATCAGAGATACGGGTAGTACAGAGGCGCTGCTGAGAGTCACCATGGATCCAATAAATCACATGCTCACTGAAACAGAACTAAACTCCCTCAAAAAGAAAACACAACCAAAGGACCTCCCTAATCTTCCTAGCCTTTTCTCTTACCTCATATTAGCTCAAGTCCCTCCAGTCCCCACCAAACACCTTTAGCCTGAGTGGTTCATCCATTTCCAGATCATGCTTTTCCCCTTCACAACCCCATGCCTCATCTTCAAACCATCAGGACCTGCTGCCCAGGGTACCACTCCCATTGCACAGTGCCCGCTATACAGTGGAAGGCAAATAAATATTTGTTGAATGAGTGTTTGCTTGCATGGCCCTTCCAACAAGTCAAAGCACTTAGCACATCCCAGTTAATTATCTGACTTACAAGCTCCCATCCTGTACCAAACCCAGCTCAATGCCTCACACCTAGCCAAGTCGCAGCAAATGACAGAGGCTGGATGGGACAGGCTGACTGAGGGCAGAGATACAGGAAGGTTACAAAAAGTCAAAAACAATGAGAAGGTCCAAACAATTAAAGGATCGCTAGGAGAAACAGAAGTCACAGGGTGGGGGGAGATGAACAAACACTAACAAAAATTCTAAAATATTGGACAAGGGTTAGACCAGAACTCCCCAGGTAGGAGACAGCTGGAAAGAGGCAGCTTTGACATGATTTTCATTCAAGGTAACGTAAGAGTAACATGACTTGAGCTTGTCTGTTACTGCCCCGTTAAATTCCCCTTCGTGGTTCCAGGAACACGACCTCTGAAAATGGTAAACGTTTGTTCACTGGAACTAGAAGAAAAGCATCTGAACTACTTGGTTAAACAGGCAACGCCAGAGTAACGAGGGCTGGTGCAGACCGCCAGCAGGGCAGAGCCATGCTCCTTGGCTATCCTGTCAGCTGTAGCGGGCTGACGGGGCTGACGTATGAAGGGAGCAGCGAGTTCAAGACGCAGCCAAACAGGAAGGATTGAAGATGTAATCCTCTACTGATTCACATGTTAATATGTCTATTCTAAACATATTAGAGCAAGGTAAAATAAGAGTAAGGTCATATTTTTGTTCTCATTCCTCCCGGTAATTTTACATTTCCCTCGTCATGTCTTCGACTCCTGAGTCATTTTCAGTATGACTGCACATTTGTGCAGTTTTCAGATATTTGGACTTTTTCAGGTATTTTGGGGGATACCGATTTCTGTTTAATTCTGTTGTGATAAGAGAACACATTCGGTAGGATTTCAACACTGTAAAATTTATTGAAATTTGGTTTTGGACCAAAATTGGACCAAATTTGGTCCTTCTAGGTGAGTATTTCAAGGGTACTTGGGGAAAAAAACAGTATATAGGGTGGAGTGTTTCATTAAACAGAGTAAAAAGGCAATTAAGTTGATTGATAGGGTTGTCCGGGTCTTCTAAACTCTTACTGAATGTCAGTCTCCTTACTCTCTCCATTATCCATGGAGGACTGTTGGAATGTCCATTTGTAAATTGGAGAGGAGAGGAGAGAAGGGAGGAAGGGGATGGAGAGAGGAGCCGAATGAATAAACAACCAATTTAATATGCTGTCACCGACTTCAATGCAACTTCCATCATCAGTGTGTACGACAGGCCAAAGAATCTTTTCTGAATCTTTATTCATTTAGTTTTGGCTGCACTGCATCTCTGCGGCCGCACAGGGGTCCCTCCAGTTGCGGCGAGCAGGGGCTACTCTCCAGTCGCGGTGCGGGGGCTTCTCATTGCAGCGGTTTCTCCTGTTGCAGAGCACAGGCTCTAGGGCGCAAGGGCTCGGTACTTGTGGCACACGGGCTTCGCTGCTCCTGGAACGTGGCCTCTTCCTGCACCAGGGATCGAACTTTGCCCTCTGCAGTGGCTGGCAGATTCTTTGCCACTGAGCCACCAGGAAAGCTGCGAAGAATTACTTTAACATTGTATGTGGGGGACAGTATTTCCCTCCTGTCTGTACATAAACTCAAGTGCTACTTTCTATCACAGCAGCTGCTAAAATGGAGCAGCCAGAAGAAAGATACTTTGATATTTTGCCTTTAGGATAAATCCTAGGTCACTGTGTTCCAGGCTGAAAGCAATTTACCTTCATTAGACTTAAATCACATTTTTTAAAAAGAGAAACATTACTGATTAGAACAAAAGCTAAAAGGCAAAAATAAGGAAATAATTTGCCTAGCTGGTTTGCTTCATCAGTGTGATTTCTCTAATTTCAAAGAATAAAAAACTGTGACCCAACACCTGCTTACTAGATAACTGTGTGGAATGTGTTTATCCTTGTTTCTATATCTGAACCACTGCAAACTGTCTGGATATTGATTAACTTCCAAGTGTATATGATATCCAGGAAAGGCAAACTATCCCAATGTCTCCCCATAATATTTTGCAAAAATCAGTAGAAAGAATGGTATTGTCTTTTATAAAACATCAGTTAAAACCTTGAAATATTAAATATAAGTGGTTTCTATGAGAAATTAAAATTTAGCCTCCTAAAAAAATTTAAAGAAAGGAAAGAGAACAAGAAAAAAATTTTCTAAGAAATAATACTTGGGACTTCCCTGGAGGCTCAGTGGTAAGGAATCCACCTGCCAATGCAGGAGCCACGGCCTCCACCCCCCCCCGGGAAGACTCCACATGCCGCGGAGCCACTAAGCTCATGTGCCGCGACTACTGCACCTGTGCTCGAGAGCCCGGGGGCCGCAGCCATGAAGCCCGTGGGCCCTAGACCCGCGCTTCACAACAAGGAGGAGCCACCGCACTGAGAAGACCGCGTTCCACAGCTAGAGAGGAGACCCCACGTGCCACAAGTGGAGAAAAGCCCCTGCAGCAACAAAGCCCGCGCGCCCCCAGCAGAGAAGTAGTGCCTGCCTGGGGCTTTACAAGGAAGTTCAAACACTGGGGACGAGGACAGACTGTAGAACTGCTACAAGTTTCCCCCAAAATGCACTGATTTGACAAAGCATTTCCTGTGCCTACTAAGGCTCACTGTGCTATATGTTGGTGAAGGCAGAGTTCTTCTCACAAGAGACTTACTGGTTGATGGAAGGGGCAGACAGCAAAGTAGTAAACAAACAAAATAATTTTAATGTATAGTAAATGATATAAAGGAATTAAATGCAGTGCTGAGATCAAAGATAAAACAGGATGTCAACAAGACCTCTCTGAGTTATAGGATGAATAAAGTACAAAGCATTTCAAATTACAAAAGGCCAGAATGCCTAAACTCACACCTTCTATTCAATATTGTATTAGAGGTCCTTGCCAGTGCAATAAGAAAATGAAATAAAAGTTATAAAAATTGAAAAGTTAAAACTATTTTTATTCCTAGACAACCTAGTTAACTATGTAACAAATCCTAGCTACAAAATAGCTACTAGAATATATAAGTGAATTTAGGAAGATCATAAAATACAAGGTCATTAACTAAGAATCAATGACATTAGATATACTCACATAACACAATTTTAAAGTGGAACTTTGAAACAAGTCCATTTGTACTAACATCAAAAAATAATCAATATTTAGGGATAAGTAAATAAGAGCTATTCAAGGCCACTATGTGGAAAACTACAAAATATCACTGAAAGATATTAAAGAAGATCTAAATAAATAGAAAGATATATGGATTGGAAGACTCAGTATTGCTCAGATATTAATTCTCCCCAAAAGGAAGACTCCACATGCCGCGGAGCCACTAAGCTCATGTGCCGCGACTACTGCACCTGTGCTCGAGAGCCCGGGGGCCGCAGCCATGAAGCCCGTGGGCCCTAGACCCGCGCTTCACAACAAGGAGGAGCCACCGCACTGAGAAGACCGCGTTCCACAGCTGGAGAGGAGACCCCACGTGCCACAAGTGGAGAAAAGCCCCTGCAGCAACAAAGCCCGCGCGCCCCCAGCAGAGAAGTAGTGCCTGCCTGGGGCTTTACAAGGAAGTTCAAACACTGGGGACGAGGACAGACTGTAGAACTGCTACAAGTTTCCCCCAAAATGCACTGATTTGACAAAGCATTTCCTGTGCCTACTAAGGCTCACTGTGCTATATGTTGGTGAAGGCAGAGTTCTTCTCATAAGAGACTTACTGGTTGATGGAAGGGGCAGACAGCAAAGTAGTAAACAAACAAAATAATTTTAATGTATAGTAAATGATATAAAGGAATTAAATGCAGTGCTGAGATCAAAGATAAAACAGGATGTCAACAAGACCTCTCTGAGTTATAGGATGAATAAAGTACAAAGCATTTCAAATTACAAAAGGCCAGAATGCCTAAACTCACACCTTCTATTCAATATTGTATTAGAGGTCCTTGCCAGTGCAATAAGAAAATGAAATAAAAGTTATAAAAATTGAAAAGTTAAAACTATTTTTATTCCTAGACAACCTAGTTAACTATGTAACAAATCCTAGCTACAAAATAGCTACTAGAATATATAAGTGAATTTAGGAAGATCATAAAATACAAGGTCATTAACTAAGAATCAATGACATTAGATATACTCACATAACACAATTTTAAAGTGGAACTTTGAAACAAGTCCATTTGTACTAACATCAAAAAATAATCAATATTTAGGGATAAGTAAATAAGAGCTATTCAAGGCCACTATGTGGAAAACTACAAAATATCACTGAAAGATATTAAAGAAG